TTATTTTGAAGGTTTTGGTAAACACGTAGAAATAAAATCATCATTTATTGTCAATTGACTGAAGCCAGCGAAAAGCGTAAAGTCTTAATTAGCATTTCAAGGAAGATCTGAACATCTTCGTGATGGAAATATCACAATAATTACAAAAAATGTGGCGGAAGGCAATTACTCTGAGTGTACAAAAAATGGTGCGTTTACAATTGTACCTGATAATTCCATTTAAATTTATTAGTCCCTGGCCGGCATGTCTGCACGTGAGCTTTAGAAAAATATTACTCCTGTAATCTTCTAATGGGACATATCAAACGAAAATGTGGTTGCCTTAGTCCAACGTAACTCAAGCGATGCATAAACGAAAGAAACAACTAGCACTTTTCGTGAAAACGTGTTAGAATACATACTCGAAATTTGGGCTGTTCGGTAACAGCCATACGTTACATTGCGCATAATATGGAGTCATATATAACCGAATATTTTACAAAAGGATTATTTTCCAACATCATTTTATTTGTGCTGCTATATTCACTCTGTGGTTTTGCTTCATGTACATGTAAAACTTAAGTTTACCTAATACGCCCGATTTCTACTTTTTCGGAATTCTCCACTTTGCTAAAAATTTGGTATTTCTATAAAAATTTATATTCCTTGATAAATCATAATATGCCTATTATGAACAACAAACATTACTTTATTGCTGTAAGACTTTGGGGGCCGCAGCTTGGGCTGTGTTTGAGTAAGAGCGAGTTACTTGTAAAAATCCTTGGATTTCATGAGATAGTGCATCTACTGTAATTTGGCTGCCTTTATTTCAAAGAGCGGGCCTGTTGACAGCTTTCCTAGCCGCATTGTAACGGGCTATTTTTGTGTAGTCAGAACCCTGGCCGCTTGACCGTTAGATTGCATTTGTGCGTGAATTCCACTACTGGGATGAGGTGCGGAAGCAGGGGGGTGGGAGGGGATACCTAGTGTCAACGCCCATTGTTCAACTCTGTATTTCTCTTTTTTTGTTGCTCCTTTTCCGCGCATATCATCCTCACGGCTTTTCGTCACTCTTGTTGTATCTGAATATTGAGTTCGCGATTGCCAGGAACACCTGTACGTACGACTGCCTGTAGTACCTACATTTTTACTCGTGTCGCCCTTCATATGTACCCACGTCCACTTCATTCAGCTCATCCAGAACATGTTTGAGTCCACGGCACGCCAACACAGCCCCCTTCGCATACTACAGAAGTTATTAATGACTGCTCTGAGAAGAAGAAGAC